ATCGGATCATCAGATGGTCGACGTTTAATGTGACCAAACCATTTAAGACAACTTTCTCTAATTAGACTTTCACTGTCATCTGAAATAAGATAGCAAAAAAGTGATAACATCACATCTAAAGTAACATAACTAAAATGACACACAATCACTGAAGCGACAGTACATTATAAAGACGCCTCTATAGCATAAAATGAAACATAATACTCATTAAGCCTTCTTAGTCTCAACATCCACAATAGTAGATCCTTCAGGCTCACAATGAGTAAGAGTATAGACTCACAATCGAATTGGTTTTCTTGATTGACCTTGGGTAAGAGCTGAAGTTGTTGACTATCTTTCTCTATCAACCTGCATTCTTTTCTAAAAGAGCTCCACCTAGTTTTTGTTCTTCGGAGGTTTCTTGAAGGATGGTATCTAGTTATGTGATCAGCCTGAGGAGACCAGTAGCACGTGTTGGAGCCCATCAAACATTCACCATTAGGTTGTCTTCCACATTTAGCACAAGTGACTACGGTACTCTAAGCCATACATGTTCCTAAATCCACTTGAGCAGAACTTTGGCTTCTTCTCAATGGATCCCTCTGAATGATCCATATTCTCTCACTAATCAATACTCTTCCTCTCGTGCATCTACTTACGTTTCTGAATAAGTTGATAATCAATCTTTACTCGTTTAGCCTGCTTTACTAACACTGAAAAATCAACAACCCCATTGGCACCAACAATTTCCTATCAAATCACTCGATCCCAAAAAGAATTTGTAACACTTTTCTTCTAAACAAGTGATCAACTGTGGTGCATACATTGTTGTCTTCTCTCCTTAAACAAATTTAATGAATTTGTCTTGCATTCGTCTCTGAAAAGATATATGTATAAACCACTCTCTCTGAAAAGCTTCACAAACTCCTCCCAATTTACCATCATTTTGGGTATGTCCCCTAGTCTATCTTAATGTTAGCCTCGCCACCACCATTTAGCTTCTTCATCTAATACAAAAGTAACTAACGATACTCTTCTTTCACCAAGAGAGCCATATTATCTAATATCTTCTCAATTTGCATCAATAAATTCTCCGCTTCAATCGAATCCTCAATTCCCTTAAGTAATAGTGGACACAAATCTTAAAATGCCTTTAAGTACTTATCCACAACAACTATCTCATCCTCAACAAGTATGGTTTGGACTCCTAAATAAATTGTGTTATCATCGCCATCATTTGGGTCAGAGCATTCATGTTCGCATTTATAGTAGGCGAAACATTTTCATTTTCTAACAGACTCCTTCTATAATCTCGGGTGCATCCATTTGTCTAAATTAACATAATTTTTTAATTAGAGTTAACATAAATTTTCAATTTTATTATTATAATTTTTTTTTGTAATTATTCTAATGGCTCTTTTATCAAGATTACACTAATTAATTCTAAACATTTCTTTGACACCACATTTGTCAAGACACAACCTGAAACTTGAAATTACTAAGGCAGGTACAGATGGTCGGATGATGTAAATTAATTTTTTTATATTTATTATTTATAACTAACATTTAACATGAAAGAGCCATTACATAAAAGAAATTAAATAAAAGTATTAAAGCAGTTATAAATTTAACTTAGGTCAAATTGTCTGCATCTTCTGTAAGTATTTCTTCTTCTATTCCTCATTTTTAATGAAATGATTAAACATGTAATATTAATTTAAAACAACAGTAAGCTAAAAATATCATTGAATACACCTACTTCTGAACCCCAGTAACGTATTGAAAATGAAAGAATATTCATGCAGTTAACCTTTTAATATCGATATAAAATTAGTTGATAATTTATGAATAGAAACGATTACAATATTTCATAATGTTTAATGTTATTTGTTGTATCAATAATATGTCTATCCCATTTTATATCTCTACAATCGTCATAGAAGCACCGTCTAAATTGTAATATTTAAAATACTTCAATATTAATATATATTGATTTTCAGAATTCAACGAAATTATTTTATAGATATGAAAAAGGTATAAATACTCATACATGAATCCTAGAATATAAAAGACAAAAAAAAAATAACAATAAAGAAAAAATATAACACCTAAATCTCCAATTAATTAATTCATATATATTACATGAAGATAAAGGAAACAACAAAAAATAGGAAAGCTTAAAATAAAAAAGGTAATAAATTCAATACAAAGAAATAAATCTAAAATAAGAACTGAAAGACATCTAATTCTCATAAATTTTAACATGAATAAATTATTTCTTAATATAACTTCTAACACTCCCCCTCAAGTTGAAAGATAATTGACAATCATGTTCAACTTGAATTTAAAAATATCAAATAATGTGCGAGGAAGAATGTTTGTGAAGTAGAACTTCAAGTCTTCATTTTGTATTTAGTAAACAACCCCAAGAGCATTTAGGGATATTTTTATTTGACTGCAGTTGTCTTTGATTGCAGTTTCTGTAGTGTTTGTAGGTAGACGGAAGACAGCTATAGGTAATGTTGCACGAAAGTTTGCAGGAAAGTAGACAACCTACAGGAAAAACTGACTTTTAGTTGACTATGGTTGTCTTTGATTGTAGTTTCTGCTATGTATGTAGGTAAGCAGAAGGCTCCTATAAGTAATGTTGTAGGGAAGTAGACAACCAATAGAAAAAGTTGCAGGGTATGGCCTACAAAAAGAAAAAAAATGGAAAAAGTTCTAGAGGGTCTTCTACAAGAAAAAGATCCGGAGAAGAGGCCGCCGCAGGAAAAAGCTCTGAAGGAGGAGAAAGCTCCTGAAAATGGTTTGTTGCATGAGAAAGCTCCGGAGGAGGGCCGACTGCGGGAGAAAGCTTCGGAGGAGGGCCTGTTGCAAGAAAAGCACCGGAAGAGGGTCTCCTGTAAGAAAAAACTCTGAAGGAGGCTTTGTAGGTTGGCTGCTGGAATTCCATGCTGAAGAAGATTCAAAACTTCATGAAGAGTGCCTTGAAAACCGTCACAATCAATGTCGAGAGACGAAACAGAAAATTGACATAATGATAGCAACCGCAGAGCGGAGCGAAGCAGATTAGGCCTCATAAAAGAAGCCAATAGAAGAGGGCCTCGAGCAACACAACCTGAGACTGGTTAATGTGCTGAATGTTCTCCAAGGGAAGCTTACCAAGAATAGTGGAAAAGGAGAATCTCCAATTGTTGTCGCCGCCGCTGGAGAACTGAGAGCATCTCCAATTAAGCTGTCACCCGATAACTTCCGTTGTACCCCAAAGCGTTTGATGGGCATGACATCCGGCGCCTAAAACTTATTGTGATCTCTGCAAGGGTTCCGACAGCAGTGGAAAGGCCTGCAACCTGCGGGAAAAGGACTTGATGTCGCTGCTACTGCTGGACAGGGGAGTTCCACGGGATAAGCCTATAGAGAGAATTCGGTGGAAAGGGATTTGCCACATAGTTTTCTAAAGCTGGATCGAAGAGTTCCAATGAAGAACTTGCATGCAGAAAGAATCCTAGCGTGAGTTTTCTCTGCAACTTAAGCTTCTTACAGAGCTCCTTCACTAAAGGAGCAATTCTCCTAAGATGGCACCTTGGAAGCCGAGGAAACAAATAGTGTTCTGCATGGAGTTGCAATCCGACAAGAAACCAATCCATCCATGGTGAATTGGTGTGTTCAGCGTCCTCATCATTTGCTTCTCAAACTAGTCGTTGCCCTTTGGATTACGGATGTAGACAGTGGAGGAGAAATGGTTTACACAGAACTGAACATGTCGAATCCCACTTATAACGAAGCTTTCGATCACAAACATCAGCCTTTTTCCCCAATTTGGGAGAAAAGAAACCAACTAAGGATACCTTGTCCAAAACATGAGTATGCCAACAATCTCCTGGAAGCGGGAAGGCACCTTCTTCGTGGAAAGAACAAGATGCATAGATTGGGCAAAGAGACAGCCTTAACAAGCACATTACTGGATAGAAAGTTGTGTTGGAAACAGATCAGAAACATTGAGATTGAATCGAAGGTCAAGGTTTTCTCGTAGGAGGAAGCTAGGGTTTTATCACGGAGAATTTGAGGCCTGCAAAGGGGGTCACTGGCAGCGGAACAACCCGCAGGGGAGAGACCGTTGGTGGCAGAGTCTGCAGGAAGGGTTACCAGCGACTAAAATTTGTAGGGAAGGAAACCGTCGACTGAAATCTACAGTAAAGAAGACCGCCGGCTGAAATTTGCAGAGAAGGAAGGAGACTGTGGCTGAAAAAAAAACTACAGGGAAAGAAGAAAGTTTCCTTGAAAATATGCATTTGCACTAATACATCAAGAAGTTACAAAAAACTATGCAAGTATGCATCTATGATGTACAAAAAATGAGCCCTATCATCTACAAATATGGTAGCAAGGTCCCTATCATCATCTATGTGCAACAAAACAAAAGAGCTACTAAGGGCACGCTTAGTAACAAAAAGAACGGCCCAATTATAATCATGACGAACATAAAAAAATAAAACTTCTAAAGTTCAAAAGGAAAGCTACATCCGGAGTATCATGTAATCGGCCTAAACGGAGAGGGTTTTGGCAACTAGAGCCAGTAGGGAGAAGAAGTTTCTGACAGAAAAATTGAAAAGAGAAGGCAAAGGAAAGGCCTGTAGCATGACAAAGATTGTCGGTTGCAGGGAATAGAAAGTTTCTAGTGGTAGGAGACTCTAGAGTTTGTTTCAAGACTCTAATACTATTTTGATTTTCGGAATTCAGTGAAATTACTTTATTGATATCAAAAGAGGGTATAAATACCCTTACATGAATCCTGGAATAGAAAATATTATTTTGGCTTCTATACATGGATCCAGGTTTTAAATATTCACAATGGAATGTTTCTCAACACCTTTCCCCTATTTGGCATGTATTTCTTTCTTTCAAGAGTCAAAGACAAATGAAAATTAACAGTAAAATGCTTGTTATGGAACACTTGAAGAACCTGCATAAGGAAACCATTACATAGAGGAAAACATGGTAAAAGCTGCAAATAACCTCACTTATTGTCAGTTGTGTTCCTGTAGAATTGGTAGAACGAGTCCCAGTGCTTAGCCTGCAGGCAATCAGTAAGCATTTACTGTACTAAGTTCTTAAATTTTATGCATCAACTTGAGAAGTTTGATTAAGTAACAAAATTAGTTGAAGTACTTATCTAGAAACTAAACAGAAAGCATTTATAATGTCCATTTCCCATGAATACCTCGTTTTTATAACATAATTAATAAAAGGAACAAAGAGAAACACAATAAGAACTTTATTACATGTTTAAGGTACATAAGTGCTTTAACCATTAAGAAAATAAGGACTTTAAGTTTCTACTAATGCAAGATCTGGAGAGGGATTGATGCATTTAGTCTGTTACTAATATCATAATAGAGAACTAAAAGGCATCCATTCCTAGCGGAAGCCTCATTTAGGTCAGTTAGATTTGTCATTCAGATTGCAGCAGCTCATTGGAATGGTTTTAAATATTGTCACGGACCAACATAGCCACTCGCTTATCAGAAAATATCAAGATTCGAAATTTTACATGAGGGAAACCTACATACATAGCACTTGGAGCATAGTGAAACACTCCAAAAACATCAAATTATTAAATATTACGTTTAGCACGTGGAATTATTAACTTTCGAACCATGGCCCTACTGATGCACGCCAAAGGAGAAAAAAGTATCCCATTTATCTCTCTGAATTTATACCCTCAAATTCGGAAAAAATTTGCGTACATAAGACGTACGCAGAGTTGCGTACGTCTGTAACCTGCAAACAGGTTACAGGGAGAATTTCAGGAGGTTATAACCGCGTTATACACCCTATAACCTCCCTGTAACCTCCCTGTAACCTACCTATATATGAAAACAGAAGCGCGAAACTGACTCGAAGGTACAGGTAGGTTACAGGGAGGTTACAGGGGGAATAACGCGGTTATATCCTCCTAAAATCCTCCCTGTAACCTGTTTGCAGGTTACAGACGTACGCAACTCTGCGTACGTCTTATGTACGCAAATTTTTTCCCTCAAATTCATCCTTTGTCGAGAACCTTCAACATTGCTGGAAACATATCCATAAATGGCCACACACAAATATCCTTGATAACAAAGACAACAGGCTGTAACATCTATAAATGTCTAACAACTGAAAAATTGTCCCCCAACCATTCACATCATGTCCTTTAGTCCTAGAGTCAATAAAATTGTCAAATTAGTTCATGGACTCTTTTAATATAGACTAAAAAATTCCTCTCTCAAGACCAATTTAGACTACATTGACACTTCTACTCTCTCGACTAAAATGACCCCCTACAAAAAGTCAAGGATCATTTTGACACTTTTCTTTAATGAGTAATAACCTAGTAAAGCTATTGTGCCAAGTTAAAGATTGAAGGTTAGACGTGTTGAGAGTCGGATTTTGAAAAATCTTTAAAGATAATGCAATTTTATCTATCAAATCAATCATACAAGCCAACAAATTTTTTTGGTTTCAGAGCCGACACTATCAAAAAAGACTAGATGCAAGGCAATCAGCTATCAAACCAAAGAATAACAAAACTTGATGCAGCAAGAAAGAAAACTCAGAAAAGGGATAAAACAAAGAAAAGTTACACCAATAACTTTCTATTAATAATTCAAATATTATTTTAGGATAAATTAAATACATTGTACAAATCTTCACTAGTAGTTACATTGAAAATGTAAAAATTAGTTGGGGAGGAAAATTACTTTTTTTTCATTATTCACATGTAGAGACTACATAAATATATATATATATATATATGATAAGAATATTTTT